CATAGGAGGGCATAGGAGGGCATAGGTAGACATAGGTAGACATAGGAGGGCATAGGAGGATATAGGTAGACATAGGTAGGCATAGGAGAGCATAGGAGAGCATAGGGACATAGGTAGGCATAGGAGGGCATAGGGATATAGGTAGATATAGGAGGGCATAAGGACATAGGTATACATAGGAGGGCATAGGGATATAAGTAGATATAGGAGGGCATGGGAACACTAGCACACGAACGTACGCATACATTTACTTCTCCCGCTCTCCCGAGAGAGAGAGAGAGAGGACAAATAGACCTCGCATGAGCCAGGTCGCACTGAACTGGAAAGGTTCACGACCCACACCAAGGAGGGAAAGCGGACAAATATTTACCCACCTTTCTACAAATACGGACAATGAACACAACTACTATTTACGTCTTCCCACCGAATAATACGGTACCCATAAACACGGTACCCATAAACACGCACGAGAGAATTAAAGCCAACGTATCCTCTCGCAATCAAACGCCAACAGTGGCTTGAATAGTCTGACATTACTGGACATTGGCTATCACAAACACAAACCTATGCGACTGGGCACGAATCCAGCCCCAGAGACAGATGCCGCACTACCTATATGCACCCGAGATCCCAGGGGATCAATGGACGAACCGTGTCACGGATAGAGGTGAAATCCAACGAACGATAGAGATCGAATGAAGAACGATAACGATCGAACGATAGCCAAGAGAAATCTGAGGGGATCAGGCATGACCGTGTCAACGATAGCTCTGTGAAATCCGACGAACGATAGAGATCGAACAAAGAACGATAACGATCGAACGATATCCAAGAGATATCCGAGGAGATCGATGCACGGACTGTGTCACGGATAGAGGGCGCTGATGACTGAGTGTACTTACCACCAGGTGAGAGCTGACTAGCACCTTGTGGAGCGAGTGCTTTACGTGCTCGGCGTACGCGGCCATCCCGCAGTTGAGGCACGACGTGATGAACCACTCTCCCACAGCCTTCCTCCTCGTCAGGAACGCGTGCTCCCTGCAAGCAGACGACACGACCGGTCAGTAACAGTAGCAGACGCCATGACAGGCAGTAACAGTAGCAGATGACACGACCGGTCAATAACAGTAGCAGACGCCATGACAGTCAGTAACAGTAGCAGACGACACGACCGGTCAGTAACATGGTCATGTACGTTTTATAGAAATGTAACTAGCGGGTCGAGTGAAAGTTAAAATTCAAAAGGCGATGTTTTTAAAAGATAAGTGTGCATCCCAAATTCGTGTAGCATTGTGAGAAATACAATATGCAAAGATAATATTATTATATCGGCAGAATATAATATGCAAGGATAATATCCTGATAATATCAAGAGAAAATAATATGTACATGTTTAGTATCAAAGAGAATATAATATGCAGTGATAGCATCGAGAGATTATATCATGCAGTGTTAGTTTTCGAGAGAATTCAATATGGCATGTTACAGTAGTATGAGGTTTGCCTTTGATCTGGTATGGTACGTCAGCATTCGTCGGTTTACACACGCGTGCGGGAAAGAAGCGAATGCTGGGAGCTAGGTAGCTAGCTGAGCTGGAGTTGGGTCGTTAGTAGCTCTAGGACCATAGCACTGTACGCGGGCTATAGTCATAGAGCTAGATCGTTAGATGTTGCGGCTGCCGCATGTGCTGTTTTTCCTGTCTTTTTTTTTTTCGAGCTGAACAGCTGACATAGATGATGTCAAGGAGCGGATAATACCTTATACTACGGATAATACCTACGAGATATATACTCTTGATCATGTATAGTTTGGGTCGCAGCAGCAGTAGCAGCAGAGCCAGCTAGTAGTAGTAGCAGTAGTAATAGTAGCAGCAGCAGCCCAGTAGGCCAGCAGTTAGCACCACACCACCCACCATCCACACCAGCAGCAGCAGCCAGCAGCAGTACCCTAGTAAAGTAGCCGACTAGTAGCAGTAGTAATAGTAGCAGCGAGTAGCCAGCAGGAAACAGCAGCAGCAGCAGCACGCGTCCAAGACATTCCGCCTGACAACAGCCTGGTGTTTGAGCTACGTGCACTCCATCACGTGCGCACTGTACTCCTCCTTCCTCCTCCTTGGCCGGCTTACCTTTGCTGCTACTGCCGGCGCTGCTGTAGCTTGGCCTTAGCTGCATACGCTTTACTGCTGACCTGCTCTGCTGCTGACTGCTACTGCTCTACTGAGTCCTTGACCTTACTGCTACTCATTGCCTATCGACCTGCTACTCATCTGCCTCTGCTTTTACTTCTCGGCTACTGTGCGTCTCTGGCCGACCCCACTAAGCTTACTGTCATCATTCATGCCATCGCTAGAGTGCTACATGCTCATATATTTTACCGGTGTAGGCTTTCCTTGCTTATTCTACACTCGGCGGTAGGTATAAGTTATTATGGCCGCCTGTCCCGGTTTGTATCGTCCTCATCCAGTCTCTGTCACTGTCGAGCATCAGCTAGCCAATTTCGACGTGCTCACTGCTGCTGAGGCACTGCCCATAGATCCATCTTAACACGATCTGTCATGTCACTGACTTTAGCTTAAGACCCCTCGTGTCGGCTACTGCACTGAGTGCTGTTGCCATCCGGCTCCTAGCCTAGAGCCTGACTAACGAGCTAGCTTCCCACACTCTTCCCAGTCGTCACGCTTAGCCCGTGCCTCCCTACTAGCTAGCTTCGCCCTTCGCAGTCTCGCTCTCATGTCCTTGGCCCTCCCGTACCTCGCGCGTGCTTCGTGAATCCAACTTGCATCGTTCTGGCACGGTCTTGTGC